TTGATCCCCTCTTGACCTCCTTCTTCCCTGTGACAGCCCTCAGGTCTTCCCTGAGCCTTATCTTTACTAGGCTAAACATGCTTAGTTCCCACAGCTGTTCATCATACAATGTAGTCAGTGGTGGGATTCAATTTTTTTTTTACTACTGGGCATGGCTTGGTGGGCATGGCAGGGGTAGGATACTGTAAAATCTCCATTCCCTCCCCACTCCTGGGGCAAGGTTTTCTGCAAAATCCCCATTCCCTCCCCACCCATCTAACCTGCTTTCCAGCTCTGTTCTCCTGTGCAGGGCAACAAAAGAAGACCCAGCCAATCAGCTGGGACTCGGGAGGCAGAGAATAAATGGGGGTGGGGCCAATCAGAGGAGGTATTTGCAGATTCTCCGAACTACTCAAAATTTCCTCTACCAGTTCTCCAGAACTGGTCAGAACCTGCTGAATACCACCTCTGAACGTAGTCTCCCAACCCCTTATCGTCTTTGTTGTTCTTCTGTGCGCTCTTTGTAAGGTCTCAACACCTTTTTTTGTATTATGGTGACCAGAACTGGATGCGATATTCCAAGGGTGGCCTCACTGGTGCAGTGTAATGCGGTACTGTCATTTTTATTTACTTATTTATATCCTTTATTTTTACAAATAACTCAAAGTGGCGAACATATGCAACATGCCTTCCTCCTCCTGTTTTCCCTATCACAACAACCCTGTGAGGTGAGTTGGACCGAGAGTGACTAGCCTAAGGTTACCCAGCTAGTTTTCATGGCTAAAGTAGGACTTGAAGTCACGGTCTCTTGTTTTCTATCCTGGTGCTTTAACCGCTAGACCAAAATGGCTCTCACTTCCCTTGATGTTCCTAGATGCTATCTCTTCTGTTGATGCAGACTAGGACTGCATTGGCTTTTTTGGCAGCTGCAGCCCACTGCTGACTCATACTTAAATGATACTTAGAGTCCTTTTATGTTACTACTATGTTGAGCCAGTTACTGCCTATCCTGTACCTGAACATTTTGTTTTTCTTGCCTAAGTGTTAAGACCTTACTTTTCTTAGCACTAAACTGCAGCTTGTTAGATAGGACCCAATGCTGAAATCTTTTAAGAATCTAAATTTTGACTGTCCCTTCCAAAGTGTCCCTTCCAAACACTGCGTGTTTCCCTCCACATAGATATAGTTCCATTCGTTAAACATTCGTTAAGACCTGGATTAGTCATCAGTAGTATGCAAAGAATACCTCATGATGGAATATTCTAGAATGTTTTCTGGGCTTTGCTGATCCATTCTTTTGGAAGTAAATCTTTCAGAGTGTTTCTAATCATCACTAATACTACAGTAGTGGAAGATTTACTCCCATATAACTTCCTGGCCACCCTTGAAAATAACTGAATCACTATGGACTATAGGAAGAACAGAAACTTCCAGATTTCCCAGGAAATTGCCAATACTCTTAGTGCAGCATTTTGACATTTTTAAGCAAAAGGCACTTGAAGAATTTAATAATGGGTGCTCAAATTACTTTTTGGGATGGGGGGACAATTTCAGAAAATATGTAGCACTAGAAAGAAAGCCCATGATGAAGCAAATGCACTTATAATGATCTTAGTGATTTAAAAGGTACTCTATAACTATTAGCTTAGTAACCAATAGTACATAATGGGACAAAAAAGAATGGAATCAGGATTTATAGCTCATACTTAGATTTTCTGAGACTTCAAAAAACTGTTTGAAAAAGAACATAATAAACATATTTCATTTCACTAATATGTGCATCTTAATCTTGATGGTACATTATTAATGGTAGAAGAAAAAACTTTTTACAATGATCTGGATGAGGTATGCAATATATATGAAGTGTAATAAGTTATGCAGTTCAGAAACTTTTTTCCTATAGAATAATTTCAAAATGTTTCTCAAATTTTAATTCAGAAGGGTTATTGAAAAGGAGTAAAGCACGGTAGTGTAATTCTAAGTGCATTTGTTAGAGAACAAGCCCCACTATATTCAGGAAGGGCTACTTCTAAATATCCATAAGGTTTTCTTTTTTAGCCTATATGGATTTGTCATTATAATTACCGTACTTTAAACTAGCTGGTTTAGACAGCTTGAATATATCGATCTATATACATTACGTTTCTGAAGTTTCCACGCCTCAAAGAATTCTCCTTCAAACTTTTGTGTTACGTAAGGATATACTGGCCTCTTACATGTTGGCAGCTAAAGAAAAGCGTCCTTTTAAGAGGAGTGGATTTATTCCAGAGTTTGATATACTAGTTGGTTCAGCAAAACATCTTATCATAGTTTACAAGATGTTGGGGTGTGAGTTTCAGTGAACAAATGGCTGCTTTCTAAGATGCATGAACTTAAAAGTATATATGTGGAAATCAAAAGAACGTGAAAATGACTCTTAAATGTTAAAGTTACTATAGTATCTTAAAGTTACTATAGTTGGAAGTTGTTTTTTATATATATATATATATAAAATAAAACCATAATCACAATCTTTCTAAAAGTCTTTTGGGTTTTTTATGACGTGGGTTGGGCTAAAAGGTAGGTGTTGCTTTGCTTCTCTGTGGGCCAAGCAAATGGGCGGTAGTGAGGCATATGATGGAAAGGTAGTGTTTTGATAATGAGGTCTACTGTTACGTGTTCTTGTATGCATTTAGTTGTAGTATCACACAATATGAACTTTGGGGGAAAATACACCTGAGGATTGGGCAAAAATTGACCTTCATGTAAGAAGACCTAGATGTAAAATAAAAATGAAAGATGTGCCCTTTGTCTTCTCATGGTGTTGGAACACATGGATTTTTACTTCACAAGTGTTAGAGAATAGTTTATGGTGAATTTTCAGACTGCTTACAAGGAACTTGAGACGGATGGGACTGTGTGTTGCTGGTTTGGCAGGACACCAATTAAGAAAAGGGATAGCTAGCATTACTAAATGTTAGTCAGTTGTAAAAGATTATGGGAAAATATATTCCTGTATATGAATGATATTTAATATATCTATGGTTGTGTTATGTGAATAGGAGAATGCCATAAAAGAAGAAAGAGTCAGTGACACATAATATGTTATCTCCAGGAATGCAGATCTGCATATTTCATGGCTTGTTTTAAGTGTTTGAGCTTTTTTTGCTCTAAGCCATTTCTTCAGATTTCTGAGGATTTTCCTCTTCTAATTCGTACATGTTCCCAGCTGTCGATTTTTTTTTTTCAGTTCAAGTCATACTTGGTTTGAGGTCATAAGCATGGGACAAGAGCATTATGTTCTAAGTACGGTGATATTGGGAGTCTGCTACTGGCTTTGATGTTATAGCCTGTAAGTTGCTTCTGGATCGTCTGCAAAGATTGTCTAGGGAGGACACTTTTACCTTGGTTCTCCTTCCTGAGTAGATTGTTACGGATGATGGCAGTGGGGGCTAGTAGGAGTGGTTGGGTGTATGGCTTCTCTTTTGTGGACTGCCATAGGGCTCAACTCTCCCCCCTCCCCTAATAACCACATGAAGCCAATGATCAAGCAAGTGATCTGACGGGACATGTGAGGTTTCATCAATACGCTTATGGTGCTTGGATATATCTCTCTCCAAATAAGAATTGCATTTAAGCTTTTGTTCCCGTGACTTGTAAATGTTGGAATGGGGTGAAACAGGTTTAACTGCAGTTGTCAGTATGGAAGCTTATGGATTCCAGTAGGATTTCATTTTTGATTCTGGATAAGTTTTATGCTCATTTGCTGTATGAAGGACTGGCTGTGTATTCCTGTTGATTCTTTTCATTTGTTAGGTAGATAATTGTTAAATTATTGTATTTGAATCTTCTTGGAATGCTGAATGTAAGCCAATCAAAGTTATTGCACACAAATCTGAAAAAAAAAAGTAAATGAACATATCAGGGCTATGTTTTCCTCTATTGGCCCTCTTTGGTACATTTCTTAATTTTATACTGATGCTAGCTTCTTAGTACTGCTTCTATAAATAATACCGGTATTAGTAATATTAGTACTTTTATCTCTGTACTATGCTGGGCTAAGGACACGTTTTCCTAAACTTATGAGAACCAAACCTAGAATTTCTTAGCTCATACCGTACACTTAGAAACAATAAATTTCTAGATCTTTATAATGAATGACATACACTCATATTCTATTAAGTCAACTAAAATTTTATGTTGGTGGAATGTATGTTTAATTAGATAAAATACACACACTTTGACCCAACAGTCATTTTCATTATGTGTCTGAGGGAAAGGAACGTGGATTTGATAGAGATTTATTTAGTACTGACTTATTGAAATCAGTATAAGCAACTGATTTAATGTATCCCATAGATTTAGCGTATCTTGTTTAAATATGACTGAATCTGAATGCAGTCTGAAACTTTCATGGGCAAAAAGTATTAGCTTTCTGTAGAAAGTCATTTGGTAAAATAAAATGTGAATTCAATTTTTTTTTTTAAAAAAAAACATGGTTTCTGCAGTGTGATGGCTTTTAGTAATAAGGACATTCTGTATAATATAATTACAATATTTCTTCTATCACAAGTGAGGGCCACTTTATTTGTTATTTCAATTTACACGGCTTTCAATCTGAAATATATGACTTTGGGTTGTCACACAAATCCAAAATAAACCTTCCTATCTTTTTAAGTGTTCAGTAAAAGTCTTTCTCAGAGTGTTCCCATTTAAAGTGAGGACTGTATGGAGCAGAAAGCAAACCTTATCAGTTGTGTCTCCAATTGTGACATAATATCCCTTGAAATATTTTTGACCTCTTCCTCTCTTGCTTTTAGAATGATTTTGGAAACTTCTTTGAGTTCAAATGGGAAGAGAAATTGATAATTTTTAATTGTTATTTTTCTGATTGTTTTTATTCAGATCACTATAGACTATAAGATTGCTTTGGGTATTCTTGGGCACTGCCAAGAATTGTGGGATTGATGCAGTACAGAACTTATACATGTCCTTACAATAATCTTATACTTTCCTCTCCTTCTTCCATTTGTGTTCTTCAGGGACGCCAACCGTCATGTTAAGATAAAGCAGAAAGGTGCAGTGCTGAACATGCTAAAGAGGCTGGACAAAATAAGGTTCAGAGGACATAAGAGAGATGAGTTCCCGGACTTAGCAGAATCTCCCAATGCTTCAGATACCGAATGTGGAGATGAAATCCCTATGAAAATACCTCGTACATCAGGCTACGATGAACTGAGAGACCCTGTAAGTACTTAAGATGTTTGCACATTTTATTGTGGTTGCGCCAGTGGTGGGATTCAATTTTTTTTTACTACTGGTTCTGTGGGAGTGGCTTGGTGGACATGGCAGGGGAAGATTACTGCAAAATTCCATTCCCTCCCCATTCCACTAACCTGCTTTCCCGCTCCATTCTCCTGTGCAGGGCAGCAAAAGAAGTCCCAGTCACTCATCTGGGACTCAGGAGGCAGAGAATAGATGGAGGCGGGGCCAGTCAGAGGCGGTTCTCCAAACTATTCAAAATTTCCGCTACCAGTTCTCCAGAACTGGTTAGAACCTGCTGAATACCACCTTTATTATTATTATTTTTTGTTGGTCCCCAACTATGCATTATGCTTAGCTATGTTTTGTTTTCCTTAAGAATTAATTAATTCATTACCCATTATTGGCAATTATGTTTCAGTATATCTGGAGATTTCCTTACAGAGGGCTATATTACACTCAGACTTGGCTGTATCTTTATCTTTTGATTTAATTTGGGTTGTTTTATAATTATTGATGTACTCACAAATTGTGAGGTGATTTTATAAATTTGACAAACAAACAAGCAAACCAAACTAAAAAATAGGGCATGTATACGCTATGTATGCAGTAATGTACTCATTTGCATCTAAATATAATTATAAAGAACTTTGAATTTGATGCAAACAGTTGTTAGGAGGAGGATGGCATATTTTGTCTTTCTTGCTGCCTATATACTGATTGGATCTGGAGATCTCCTGAAAAAGCAAAAAATGCAAATATGAAGGGAAGTGACTTTGGTCCTTCCGTATTGCATCTTTCTGAGATAGGAATCTATATTGAGAGTCTGTATTGGACCTTGAGTGAAGAGCTTTTTCTTATTAGAGCCAAACTTGATTTTTTTTTTCTAATTTCAGGTTTGAAGAAGAATGAATATAAATAACAATTTAGTAAAAACGTAATCTCTTTATTTTATTTGAACTAACATGGTCTTTAAGTCTAGAGCAGCCAAAGGCAACTAAATTGTACTAATATGATAAAGGTTTTTTTTTTACATTCAAGACACAGTGAAAGTAACAAGATCTCCCTAGTGGTTGTTCTAAAATGTTGTGGACTTGCTTGTTCCAAACTCCTCAGTTAAAAATAACTTGCTCTGTGCCATGTCATGAGAAGATAGTGGACAGATGAGCTCTTATATTGACTCCATGAGGTGACCTTGAAAGGTGAATTAGAAGGTTCATCAAAGCAAAACGTTCCCAAGGCTAGTATGGTTAAATTTGTTTTCCCTGTTGCTGGTTTTCTCACAAAACTAAAAACCTTTTATTTCTTTCTGATTCTTTTATACGTGTTTTAGGTTCCTCTTTTGCTTTATTTGTTAGCTCTGAGTTGAGTTGAAACTCCTGAGTCATTTTTTTCCCCCTTCCATAAAGCTTTATTGCAAAATAAAGCTGAAATGGATGCTGAAATGTTTCTTTAAACCACTCTGTTCACAGAGCTCCCTAAATTTCATCGAATAAGCCAGAGTTAACCGCGTTCCACATACAATATCTCATAAACCTGGATTGGTTTACTGAACACAGTGGCTGAGTTTGTTTAATGATTAAGCCAAAACCAGACAACTCACATAATAGACCAAAAGCACTGAATAAACACAGGGAATATTTTATTTATTATATTTATATCCTACCATTCATCCAGGAAGTTTAGAAAGTGCTATATTATTTTTTTTCTCATTTTTCCCCTACAATAACAACCCTTTGAAAAAGGTTCAGCTAAATTAGTGACTGGCTCAAGGTCACCAAGTGAGCTTTCAGGCATTTGATTGAATGTGAGTCTTCTTTGTATCACCCCAGCATCTTAACCAGGGGTGTCAAACTCAAGGCCCATGGGCTGGATCTGGCACATGGGATGCTTAGATCTGGCCCACGGGGCCACTGGGAAACAGCAAAGAACTGGCCTGTGGTGCCTCTGCCAGCGAAAACAGAGCTCGGGAGGGCTGCCTGCAGCCCTTCTGAGCTCCAATTTCACTTGCAGAGGGTGGCAGAGGCCATCGCAGCTGAAAACGGAGCTTGGGAGCCCGTTTTCGCTGGCATAGCTCTCAGGCCACCACAGGCACCTCTGACGTGAATGACATCAAGCTGGCCACACACACCCGGCCACACCTTCCCTCTCAGAGGTCAAACACAATCCTGATGTGGCCCTCAATGAAATCGAGTTTGACATGCCTTGACATTCCCAACCATCACATGTCAGAAGCTTTTTTTACATTTCTGGTATAATCAGATCTGTCCTTAACTTTCAAATCTCTTTGTGGTTTAAGCCTCTGTGTATCTTCAGAACCAGCTCTCTCATTTCCAGCACTCATTTCTCTTGTTCTCTGCATTCATCTCGAGAAGGTAAAGACCCAGAGGTGGCATTCAGCAGGTTCTGACCAGTTCTGGAGAACCAGTAGTGGAAATTTTGAGTAGTTTGGAGAACTGGCAAATACACCTCTGACAGGAGATTTTACAGTATTCTTCCCTTGGCCCACCCATCAAGCCCCGCCAACACAACCGGTAGTAAAAAAAATTGAATCCCACCACTGTACAGACCCCACCCTCCATGAGTTTAGGGCTCTGAAAGCATTCTTTCTTGATAGTGGCCTGCACTGGAACAGTGTTCTGTAGTGATTCCCATCCAGCTAACTTTTCTCAAGATTGTTAAAACTACATATTCCATTAAAAATTTGGTGTTGAAAGGGGATTCAGGTTAACTCTGTTATATTTTGGGGATTTGTTGCACTGGGGGTTTTTATTTGTGTGGATATTGTTATTTTAATGGTCCTAAGCCTCTGAGATAGGTGGTATACGAAGTTTGTAAGTGTGTATAAACAAATACATAAAAGTAGATACAGATACAGATTAACAGAGTTGGAAGGGACCTTGTAGGTCATCTAGTCAACCCCCCTGCCCAAGCAGAACCTACACCATTTCTGACAGGTGCAGTCCAGTCTCGTCTTGAAAGCCTCCAGTGATGAAGCTCCCACAACTTCCGAGGGCAATTTCTGTTCCATCGATTGATTGTTCCCACTGTCAGAAAATTTCTCCTTATTTCCAGGTTGAATCTCTCCTTGATCAGTTTCCATCCATTATTCCTTGTCTGACCTTCAGGTGCTTTGGAAAATAGCTTGACCCCTTCCTCTCTGTGGCAGCCCCTCAAATATTGGAAGACCACTATCATGTCTCCCCTGGTCCTTCTCTTTACTAGACTAGCCAAGCCCAGTTCCTGCAACTGTTCATCGTATGTTTTAGCCTCCAGTCCCCTAATCATCTTGGTTGCTCTTCTCTACACTCTTTCTAGAATCTCAACAAAGATGTGTGGTGATCAAAACTGGATGCAGTACTCTAGGTATGGTCTTACTAAGGCTTTATACAGTTGTATTAGTACCTCACTTGATCTTGATTGTATCCCTCGTTAATGCAACTTAGGATTTCAAGTATTTCAAGGAACATTGCTTTTGTTGTCATATCTGGATGCTAGTAAGCTGGCTACATATCAGTGAAATGAGTGAAATTTCTTTTGCAGCTTTTCGGGCTCTCCCATTTTTGCAATTTAACTGTTGAGAATCATTGCATAATACGGTGGGTGGATATGACTGAAGAAAAAGATTTGTTGCACCAAATATAGAATAGAAGCTTGTTGAATATAGAAGCTTTCCAACATTTTGCTGAAGTTTAATTAACGTTGGCGCTGCTAGATTTAACTGTTCCTCTGTCTCTTAAAATTAGGTATTGCATAATTCCCTCTCTGACAATTTTTAACTGAAGGATAAAATATTAATTGCTGAAATACTTCTCTGCTGCCTTATAGTACACAAAGTAATAAAAAAAAAAGCTCCCCAATCAGAAAAAAAGATTGAAATTTATAAAACTGACAGTTGCAGTGTGAACTTCTACGGCAGTATGTCACTTAGACTTGAGGGACAAAAGGGCATTTGGGGAACATGTCAGGATGTTAACTTAGCCCTTGCAAGCAGTTCCTTAAAGCAGCTACATTTTTCCTTGGGATTGTCCATTTTTCCTCTGCAGTTGAAGCAGTGTCAGGAAAAGACACATCCACGGTGTTATGGACCAGGGGCTCCATATGCATCCTGGCATGCTCGGAAGAATGTTTTTTTGTCTTTAATCCTAAGTGCTACTGAGGCCTATCAATTTCTGATTTGAGCTATTGTTGGGAGACACTCAGCCAGGAAGAAGGGAGGGCAAAATTATTTTTGAGTTCTTACAGAGCCACAAGAGATCCAAAATGGACCCCCCCCACTTTCAGCTTCATAAAGCCTTATCTATCTGTTCCCAGGCTAAGGCCACCAGTCTGAGGAGGTTCCTGTATAACAGGCAGAATATAATAATGCTTGAATTCTACACATGTGGGTGTGGGGTTGCTTGGGCTTGACAACTGTTTAAGTTAAGAGAATAAAGAGAAATGTAGAGAATAAAGTGTGTAGAGCCTTAGAGAGAGGCCAAGGCAACAAGCAAACATATTGCTTAAGCCTAAACGATGAAGAAAGTATGTGTAAACATCTTAGACATATGTCTCCCTAATTCACATGAGTATAATAACAAAGAGAAGAAAGAAAACACAGTCAGACTTGGATGATTCTGCTTCTATAGCCAATATAATAAAAAAAAAAAGCCATTTTAGTCTTAATGTGGAGTTGATTTATTGAACTGATCTACATTCTGAGGCTGACATTTTTTTTTCAATTATTTATTCATCACAGCATTAAGATTTCTGTTGCATTTCAGTTCCAATTGGCTTTGACCAGCATACAGAAAAAAAAAAAAAAACCACACGCAATGCATTAAAAATGAAGAAAACATAACATAAATAATATAGTAATAGTGCCCTCTGTCAGGGGCAGGCCCAAACCAACCCCAAGGGCTGGAAGAGACCTCAGAGGTCCAGTCTATTCTTGAAAACCTCCAGCAATGGACCACCCGCAACTCCTGGAGGCTAGTTGTTCCATT